TGCTCCGAGCAGTTCCCATTTACTGAAATGAAGCTCTTGGGAAGTTAATCGTGCAATTCACTCAATTAAAGAGCGCCTCAGGAGCTGGCCTGGGATTCTTGCTGGCAGATGAAGGATTCATTTTCCACCACAAATTAATCTTCAGTGCAAACTGGTGCCAAATCCCCAACTCATTAAATCAGCAGAAAACTATCAGTTGCTGGAGCCCAGTGATTTCTATCATTCTGGGAGCACACTGGTTGTGTAGAAACCCTCCCTTAAAACTCCTCTGCAGGGAATTGGGTTGCAATAAGCTAAAGTCCTTATGAATTGATACCAGCTTCCCCAACTCCAAGAAAAGCCCTGAGCTCTTCTTTCTTCATTCACTTCTGAGTGTGGAGAAAGACTCGCTGAGAGAACACTGTGCAGAAGTCAGAAATGTACTTAAAAAAGCCTTTTTTAATTAGTGTAGCAATTAATTGTCTTAATTAAATAGGATAAGGAGGACTTAAAGTCCTTCTATTGGCTGTCACTAGTTGCAGTGTTCACCAGGCAGGAGGATTTAGGAGCACTTTGCAGCCTGCTCTTGGAGGTCCCAGGCTGCAGACCAGGGCTGGAGGAGCTCAGCAGCAGCCGTACATTGACAACCTTCTTGCGCCTCTCACATCAAAGTAAATCATCCCCTTTTCCTCTCTCTAGACCTGTGAATGAGAAGCCCAATGTGAAACGTGGCACACCAGGACCACATGTGTAAGCACCTGCACCATCTCCTGGAGCTGTCACCACAAAAGCCCATCACCTGCATTATCCACAGTGATATTTCCCATGCACTCTACCCTGGCAAAGTAGAAGAGAAGATGGAGCAGAGACACACAGGCAGCAAGCAGGCACTTGTGTGAATTGCACACCAAAGCACAGCTCCATCCACAACCTGAGGCTTTCAAATTAACTCCCAAAGCCAAACACCATCTCTATTCCCAGCGATGGAGCCCTGCAGCTCAGGCAAAAGAAACAGGTCAATCCTGATGTGCATCAGTGAGAGGCTGATCGGAAATAAGGACATTTGCTGGACCTTTGTTCCAAGGGGACGGGACGTTTCTTTCCAAATTGAATTTGCTACAAAATGAGTTAGAAATAAATGCCCTCGTGTAACACACCCTCTTCGTGTGGTGCCACGTATCTCCTGTTTCAGCTCATAATGGCCTGGGTTGAAAAGGACCTTAAGATCATCTAGTTCCAACCCTCTGCCACGGGCAGGGACACCCCACATGCCTCACGTAACACAAGGCTGCTCTGAGAAGGAACATATGGATTAAAGGACTTTACTTCTTAGGTTTATACAGTCCTAGGGGCTAAGGTTTGCTGCTTCCTCTCTTGCTGTCCTTGTTCTGCTGCGAGCCCCACTGCCACTGACTTCAGCAGGCGTTCTGCCTGAATCCTGGTGGGATTCTTCTTTCTTTCTGGAAGAAATGGTAGAGTGGTTAAAAGAAAAAAAACCTCTTTGTCACTTGCTTTATTTAAGCAGGACTTTTAGCATCCTGATGTGGGACACGCTGACTGACTACAATGAGTTGTTCTTTCAGCTCTGTATATGACAAATATTTGCTTACTACACTTGCAAATCAAGAACTGAGAAAAAAAGGAATAATAATACACTGTTTCTAATCAGACTCAATGATGTTTCTTTCTTTCTTTGCTTCCCAGCTTCAGAAAAGCTAAAATCCTTTGTGAAGATTAATAAATGAGGGTTTGAAGAAGTTTTAGGTAGGGGAAAAGCCTGTGACTTATACACCAGCCAGAACTTTGGGATGCCAGAGTTCAGCTTCCAGCTTAACATAGCTTAAAATGATTTAAAGTATCTTCCCAGGGACTTGCAAGATGGGCCCCATAAGACTCCCCCATCCCAGGCTGTTGCTATGAAGGTGGATGAGATAAAGGCTCTGGAGGTTCTCAGGTTTTCTTGCCAAGGGGCTGATAAAAAGCTGGTGGGAAAGGAAAAGAATGCAAGAAGCCCTTTGCTAGTCTCCTCCTCTGCAAACGAGCTGGGAAGAAGGGAAATCCAGAGGAAAACAAAGTTCTTCCAAACTAAGTTTCCTGTAATACTTAATTAAAATATAATGGGGGACTAGGTAAGTGTTTTAAACAGTAGCAGACAAGCACTGAATGACAACGGCATCCATCTACATCAGTATGAAGTGACAGAAAAGCCTTGACACTGCAATGGCTGAGTCCACAGGCATTAAGAAACACTAAGACCTATTTAGTCTATTAAGGGTGAGCTCGTTCAAGCCCCAGGTGCTCAGCTGGGGAGAAGAGAGGGTCTCGCTGCACGTGTGGTGCCAGACTCTGCCCCATCGCACTCATCCTCCTCACCAGTGTGCAGCTGCAGATGACAACATGAAGCAGATCTACTCACCAACCTGCTCCAGAGCAGACTGGGTGCAAACTTTAGCCCCATTTTAATACGTTATAGTTACTTAAATCAGTCCAGTCTCATCCTGGCATCAGCTCTAACCATGCAGATCAACAGCTCATACCTTTTCTCTCTCTCCTATAAGCATCAAGTTTATTATTAGCTGGTCCCAAGTCTATTGACTTACTCTGAGTATGACTTACAAAGCTTTAACTCACGAGGTGTTTCTGCAAAACAGTTCACAAGAGGCAGGAACATCACTGCCTCACTTGCAGCATTCTCTTTCCTCATTGCTCTCAATCACTTTACGCTGAGTTTTCACACCACACTAGAGCTTTGGTCTACATGGTGCCACCTTCCTGTAACCCAGGCTGTGAGGCAATGCTCCTCCTGATCTGGTACTAACCCCCAGACCTAAATCCTCTGCCAAGAGCTCACCTCCACACTTCCACAGTGGACTTCCCACCCCACTCCAGTGCTTTTAAATGTTTTTGTGGGAAGAAGGTGGAATGATCTCATTGCACCCACCTATTGTTGTTTCCCCACAAGAGGCCACACATTATACATGGGAAGTGTTTCCCTTAAAATGCAGGAAAATGAATTAGAGTAACCACATAGTGTTAAACACTGAGCAGAAACCTAGCTGAAGTGTTTCTGACCATCATACAACCCCTTGCAGCAACTAATATCTGCTGGTTCAAGCTCTGGTTGCACAGCCAGATGCCTTAAAAGAAACGGAAAATGAAATCTCATCTTTGAGAATAACAAGCTTTCATTCATAAATTCATGACTCCAGGAAGCTCCCAGCAGTTTCAACACTGCAAAGAAAGGACTTTCATTGCGATAGTCCTGCCTACACAGCACATTCCCTTTTAGAAGGTGTGTTTCACATACAAAGAAAGCCCAGTTAAGAGACACAGTACAAATTCTCCTGCCTGCCAACATCTGGACAGTGTCATCACAGCTGTAAGTGATGAGGGCTTTTAATTGGGGGAAATCAAGCTGTTCAAGATATGTGACTGTTCAGCTTTCAGCTTCTTACTTGCTAACTATCAGCCAGGCAGCATCTTCAGTTCTTTATCTTCATTTGTGTCTTTGGATCTCTTCAAAACACAGATCTTGGTAGTCTCTGATTTTGGTTCTTAGATCCAAGATGACCAAAGGGATGATCACCCACACTGCATTTTAAGCTTGGCTGCAAACTGCATATAAAGTATCAGTAGAAACATTATCCCTCTGTACCACGTATCATGAGCATAAACCTACTAAGGAAGGCATTTTAAAAGCACATCCAGCTCTCCACCTGCAGACTTTGAGAGATACTACGTGTTCATGGACTGCTGTCTGTCCCAAGACATGCAGGAGTAACAGTTGTTCATCTGTCTCTTCTTACAGGGGCTTTTCTATGTGCAAACCACTGCAATTTAAATTTACCTTAGAAATACACCACATAGGCTGGACTGAACTGCTGGGATTCGGCATTTGCTACACAAGCAGCAAAACCAGCTCTGCAGAAGGTCAGAAGACTGAGGGAACCAGAAGCAGCAGCTTGGGGCGTGCACCAGAATAAACACTTACTTCTTTAGTCACTGCCCTGAGTTTCACGTTGAATACCCCAGAACTGAGGAACATCTCACGGGCAGAGGCATCCGTAAGAAGCCTGCTTTAAACCACCAGCCTGATTTCACCAAGGAACCTTACAGCAGAGGCAGTGACACAGCACAGCTCTCCAAAGCAAGACTGAGTTTCCTTCACCAGCTCTTCCTTCCACACAGTCCCACGACTGATTCATCTTCCAGTTCAGGTCAGCTGTAGCCAGCACTGCATCTCAGATCTAAACCTACAGCTCAAAAAGGTCCATTTCCCATTTACATGTAGAGCTGAGGAACCACACTCTTTACAGCAGAGGCAGTGACACAGCACAGCTCTCCAAAGCAAGACTGAGTTTCCTTCACCAGCTCTTCCTTCCACACAGTCCCACGACTGATTCATCTTCCAGTTCAGGTCAGCTGTAGCCAGCACTGCATCTCAGATCTAAACCTACAGCTCAAAAAGGTCCATTTCCCATTTACATGTAGAGCTGAGGAACCATACTCTATAATCAGCTTAGTAAGACGTGCAGTCTCTTCACAATACATTTACCTTTGCACCCCTACTAATAAACTACCAATGGAAGGCAAAACCCAAACCACATCTTTTGTACTAAAACCTTACTAACCAGATGCAAATACCAGTGCAGCTGGGAAAGAGCCAAAAGCAGCTCCAGCCCTGCTGCAGAGGTGAATGACTAACACAGCATCAAGCGAGAAGGCACAAAGATGCTCCTAGCACACCAAGCAAGTTCAGAGCAAACTGGCTGGGTTTGTGGCTGAGCAGCAATGTCTGGGCAAGCAGCAATGTTACTGAGCTGGAGTTTAGGGTAGCCTCAAGAGTGCTAGTTTCTCCAAACAGCTCTGACAGCTCTTTGTTAACAGGATGGAGACAAGTTTTAGGTTACACAGTGAGGGAACTGCACTGGGTGCAGAGGCAAAGGCTGGAAGCTGTTAGTATGAGACCAACAGGAGTCTGAGATATAGAACGACTTTCAAAGAGAAGTGGAAGGAATAAGTTTGTTCAGAGACTGACAGATACCTAATTCAGAGTTGAAAATACCAATGGAGTAGCTCAAAACTCTCAGAAGCTGATAGACTAAAGGCAAAAACCTTGGAGTTAACACTTAGTGATGGAAAAAGCAGGAGCTGATTTACACTTTAAGCATAACCTCAACTAATAAAGGAAAAAGGGTACAAAACGGTCACTGAAAGCCCTGCGAGGCTGAGGGAGGCATGAGATGCCCTCACAACACAGAATTTGTTACCCTTGTTAGATACCGCTCCTACACTGAAATACTTTGAGTGATAAAGCATTTTGATGAGTTAAGTAAGCTCCAAATAACTAATACAGCCAAAATGAGCCCAGATGATCCAGTAACTGGAAGGGTCAGTTAAAGTCACTTTGTCCAAGTCTGTATTTCGACAGATGAGCTGGCACAGTGAAGGCAGCTGAGCTCAACCCAGACTCCTCAGACTAATGCTGGGGTGAGTGTTGTGCAAGTGCTCAGAAGGCATCCCCTGGCTGCTGTTTCTGCAGCATTCGGGACAGAAAAGCAGAGTAAAGTGAGGAAAGAATCATAGAATCACAGCAATCTCTGGAAGAACAGTAACCAGACAGTGAAATATGGCCTTCCTGTAACTAGGTTTCTTCTTCTGATTCATCTGAAATCAAATCTATGTGACATGCAAGGTCAGCATGACCTATCCATCATTGGATTCCCACCCTGAGCTCTGCTGAGCAAATCAAATACGTATGATTTTTGTCATGGGAGACCTATAACATCTGCTTGTGCTCCACATTACTGAAAACTTCCTGTGTACTTTAGAAACCCTGGAAAATACTAGAACTTACTTTCTGTTGTGAGAAGGGGGGAAAAATGTCAGACAAAACAGCTGTGTTTGTATGTTTAGTTCCTCCCCCCACATGAAAATGTCTCATGGATGATGCCAAAGACTTGAACTGAGACATTATTTGCATCTTCCCCATCCCTTTGTTTCTTTAGCCAAAGTAAAGGAAAACCCACAGCGATAACATGATGCTTGGTAAGAAGAAGAAACCAAGAGCAGTGTCACAAAGTCTGAAAATAAACCCGAGGCAGATGAATGATGCTGGAGAAAAAGGGATATCCATTGCAAAGGCTGAGTTCAGGTAAGCTTTGCTCACTGCAGTGCAGGTCACAGCACACACCAGCTTCAGCACTGAGTCTCTGTTCCAGTCTTGTGCTGTTTGGCTGCGTTCAAAATAACCCTTTAGAATGTGACAAACTCTTTGTTCTGAAGTGGAGTAGGAACTGGACAGCACTACCAGGGCTTTTGCATGTGAATACACAGATACAGCTGTCCTGTAACAACTGCTACAAGCCAGTATGATCTGAGAACACCAGTTGGTGCATATAGGCCCATCAGGATTCACTAACAGCTTACAGCAGGCTGTAAACAACTCCAGTTTCCATACTTCCCTACAGGACTTCGAATTTAATGCAAACATGAAGTCATAAGGAATTGTCAGTCACTCTCACATGCATGCATTTTGTAAACCACTCTTCCTTTATATATATTAGGGCTTGAATTAAATACAGAATAGTAACACTACAGCTTTACTCACTATAAATCATTGCTGCCCCCTCTCTCATTTTTCATTCTTCCTCTCCCTACACTGCAGCCTCCTGTTCACAAAAGTACAAGAGTTGGGATAGATTAAGGAGCATGATTTACCCCCACCTCCCCGAGACAAATGAATCTCTCCAGTGATAAGCACTGAAAGGAAAACAGTATCCTGCAGTAGGTAAACAAACCTTGCAAGGAAAATCTAACCCCAACTTACTGTGTTAAACCTGGTGAGATGGCTCTGAGCAGCCATAAAGAACTGCAACCTTAAATTTGAGCAGCAGCCATCCTGTGAAATGTTAAGAAGAAAGAATGAAAGCAATAGGGTGGAGACGGGTCTGAGTTGACAGGGAATAAGAAGCTCTAACTCCTTACGTGTAACACACAGCTTACACCGCAGCTTCTGCACACGTTAATTAAGTTGACTTCCAGAGAGAAGGCAAAAATCAATAGTGTTTCAGTAGAGAAATGCTGCTTTTTAGGAGAGAAGATTGGCTGCTCAGCCACGTCTACCTGAAACGTGTCGTGCTGAAATCACTGCAGGAAAAGGCTTTACCTAATTAAAAAGTACTCACAGAGCAGCCGATCATTAAGAGGACTAACGGGAGGTGAGGATATGAGCTCTGTGGTAGATGACAGGCATAGCTCTACAGAAGTCAGCAATACCTTCTGAGATCAAAAAGGCTTGGTACTCTCTTCATTTCTTTCTGGTTTTAGGGTTTGATTATGTTTTGTAACACAAGTCAGACTTGAAACCCCACAAGAACACGCAATAGATTTCCTACTCAAGAGACTGAACAAAATCAAAACTCAGTGTATTAACAGGCACAGAACTGACACTACCGAGCTGGTGCTGCTACATGAACCGTATTTATAGACATCCACTACTTCTGGAGCACCCATAAGCTAAACTAAACCTTTTATGTAAGTGTGGTGAAAAAATTCCTGGCTTAAGGCCCACCTACATTACTAACCGGTGCACTTGTTGCTGCAGAGCTGCTGTTCTGACATGCTTAGCAGTTGCAAGCCCAATGCAGTACGCAGAAGTGACACAGTGATCTGGATACAGATACAAATGTGCAGAGTCTCTTTACTCCCACTACGCAGCAGTCTCTTGAAAAGACACTTTCTGCACAAAGGGGCTAAAGGCTTCACAATCTGGTCCAAAGTGTTATAGAGACAGATCTCAGATACAGCTTTAAAAATCAAGTCCCTTCCAACCCTAACTATTCTATGATTCTATGTTTCTATGGATATTCCCAAACCCTGTTGGAGAAAAATGTACGTGTATCAGGTGCTAACTGTAGTTTGAATATGAAAGCCTCAGAGTACTACTCACTTTCCTCCCTGCAAACTTTCTCTAGTTGCCAAAAGCATATCAGGCAGTGGTAGGGGACAACCTGCACCACCCCAAAGGGCAAACTGGATAGTTGTAACAACAAAAACAGAGATGTGCTTCGCAAACACCCGGAACCATATCCCACCGCTGTAAGCACGTAAGCACTCTACATAAAACTGCTAGCATCATCTGTCGGTGGAGCTTCGAAACTGCAGGCAATTATTTAAGTAAGAGCTAGGGAAGAGTTGCAATTATGTGGGTGAAAACAGCTGAGGGTTTGACTTAGATACAGCTCTGTAACATGCGCTATTTAAAAATGAAAACAGGACCAGCTGTATTAAAAACATTCTCATATGTAAGTTGGATTTGTACCCTATTGCCATTTAATAACTGTGCCATTCTTGTACTCTACGTAATGGCACCATCATCACTAACCAGTGTTTGCAGAGATGCCAAATATACCAGCGATGTAACAGAGGAAGAGATGCAGCACTTACACTTCAGGGTGGTTTGGGACAGGGGGAAGGTGTGTTATTATTGGGGTTTTTTAGCTACTTCAGATGCCATTTCATAAAACTCCAAAGCAGTAAGCAATTTGACTCAAAAGATTAAGAGCTATTTCAGCACAACTAGGAAACCTACATGGAAAATAATCTCCTCACCCGTTTATTGTTGCTTTTACCACTTGGTAACGCGGTTGTTTGGAACCTCATGTGAATACAAGTTCAGTTCTGCAGAAAAATCACACACCTGTATTGATTCCCCCCCCCCCAAAATGTATCAAACACATTTCAAGTTTCAAATTTGTGTGCCTTGACTTGCTCCTCAATGTCTCTTTAGGGTTGTCCATTGTCACTGATCCGATAGAGTCCAACTCAGTCTCTCACGTCAGGTGACAACCAAATTCAAAAGGTGTAGATTTCTCATCAAAGACGGTCTTCTCTGTAGTGCATTGTGCTAAGTGCATTCAACCAGTGTGTCAGGACTCAACCATATAAGCTTGGGTTGGCTTTTTGAACTACACAATACAGAAAGAGAACTGTACACGTAGCTTTGCATGCCATGAGGCTGCTCGCCCTCCTATAGGACAGTGCAATAAATACAAAGATATGCACACTAGAAAAGATTTAACTGCCATGATCTACGCCTGGGTTATGAGTACAAATTTAGCTAGTCAGCAAGATGACAAATTTAGCAGAAGAAGTGGCAATGGCAGTAATATTCTACTACAAAAACAAGGCTAGAAGCAAAAGTGTTCTCAAGCTACAGGAAACTTGCTAGATCCTAAGATATGATGCAGGGCCCAGTTCTGCCAAGTGCAGAGTCATGATCAGTAGGTTGCATCAGAACATGCTTCTCCCCCAGTTAACAATGAATACTTGTACAATTTATTTGGTTTTGATAACTGTTTATAAATAGTACACTCTAATGACTAGTAAACTATACAGCAACATGACATTTATAGCCTAATCCTGAATACAAAGTTCAAAGAACATGACTACAAAGGCCAGAGAGCAAATGGCATCGACTAAAAGCATTTCCACTTCAGGATTTATTGAATGTTCTCTTACACAAACACTTCTCCATCATGAAACCAAAAGGAACAGGATTTCCTATTTGCCCTCTGCTCCAGTAGTAATTTAGCCACGCATCACTCTTATAAATTAGTGATGGATTTTACCATGTAGCCCCTGGGGGCTATAGATTTTATATACTTTATATATATGCACATTTACTTTGAATTCTATTTAAAAGTTGGAAAAAAAAAAAAAAGGTTTGAAAGAAAAAACTCAAGAATATATCACAGCTTTGTCAGCCAAAAAAATACAAATTAGTTTTAGAACCACTATTCAATTTATCAAACTCGGCTGGGTTTTTCCTCTGAAGTATTTACCTTTAATTATGTACACGTTACAGGAAGGAAAACTTTGTCCACAAACGTTCCCTAAGGTGACAGTTACCAATAGAATGACAGAATAAGAGCAGGAAGAATAGTCAACACATGGGGGTGGATCAATTTCTGCTTTTAAAAAGTAAAAAGTCACCATATAGTTAAGTACAAAAACCTGCATTGAATGACAACTGCTGGTGTAGTAACTTGATCAGGTATGGAGACCAAGAGTATAGTAAAGCCCTATGGTAATAATATTTCTGTAGCATTTCCACTTGGTATGTATATACTAAATGTTGGCAAAGTTTCTGTAGCATTAGCTTATACAAACATAGGAGTCCTCAGTCTGCTGCATAAAAGGGAACAAGTGTGTTTGAATTCTCCTGAAATGCACCTGAAATCCAGAGTGTCACTTACAAACTGCATAATGAAGCTTTTCTTCAGAAAAATATCTGTTTGGCATCTCCAGGGCTCTGTTCCATGGGACAATAGGGGCATTTTAACCTGGGGACAAAGACAACAAGTTAGATTTGTGGCAATGGCTGATAACTAAGCATTAAAGGTATTGAGTTTGCAGTGATAGTCCTTCTTCTTTTGCCCCTGTAGCATGAAGCAAATGTACTCTTAAGCCATAAAGCTTTACTTGGCTCCATTAAAAGTCACCTTTAGCTGACAGAGCCCTTAATCATGCTTTTTCTTCTAATTGCACTTTCTCACCTTTCACCCACACACTCGTGAATTATGGAATACCAAGAAATAAGTCTTCATCTATTATTTCTACTTCTGGATTCTGCTGTTGCATTTTAGTCATTTTAAATAGGCTGCCAGCTTTCACTTTGACTTCCTCAGCATCCAGAGTAGTGGTTCACTGCCTGATTCCCCAAATGCTCTGTGATTTTCCAACCCACTTAGATCAGCTCCCACAGGCTACAGCTGAAGAGGTCAGCCTGGCCTCCCTGCTGAGTTCTCCACTGATGTAATTCCATCTGCTTACAATATTTCTTCCAGCATTGATCCATTATTTCCCATCTGTAAGTTTGGGCCGTTCACCCCCCACCTGAGTTAATACTGTCAGAGCTGTGCTGTCACTAAAGCTGATCAATGAAAGCATCAGGGATGAGTGACTGGGGACGGGAATAATGCAGCAGCAAGTTTAGTGGCTTCAAATGGCTGAAGCCACCCACAAAGTCTCTTCTAACGGGGCAAAGAATGCAAACATCACTCAAGATTTTCATTCATAGCATCACTTACTTGCACACACAACAACTTCTGCCTCTAAATGAAGCTGACAGCCTCCACAGAATGCCTCCTGCATGTCTTCAATCCAAATTACCACTGGTTCTTCCTCAAGGAAATCTGTAGAGCTCTCTCCCTCCCATTTCCTCCTTCCCAAAAACCTGTAGGCTGCTATCTAAGAAGGATTATTTCCACCCTGATAACTCAACTACCTGTTCAATTACAAAGCCTTATTTCCCCAGAGGTTTGATTTTATCTTTTAAGGGCTATTTCACACCCTATAACCTTGCTCCCAATGAAATCCTGTCTGTGCAAAAACCTCCATTTTGAGTTTAAGACAACACAATGGTACTTACAACTTGGAAAATGACTGTGCTCGTTGCATTCCTTCACAGAATCTCACTGGCTACAACATCACAGGGTTTATTACGCTTTTTTCCAGTGCATCAACCTGGCTTATCTGGCTTTTAAGTCATTCTCCAAGATTAATCATTCCACCAATGATGCAATGATGGACTCAGTTTTCCCAAAACACAGTATTCCAGTCTTAAGATTTGTCCTTGTCTATGTTACTTGAAATAAAAGAATTTTACTTACTTGCTGCCATTAAACATTTTATTCAAAGCATCTCTTGATATAATATGACCACAGACTAATTTCATAGGTGGGTTATTATCTGTTGTTTGCTGACGAAGAATGGGACAGGCAAATATTGAATGATACCAGCACTTTTTGCCAAGGTCCACTTCAATCTGTGAAAGAAATTAACATACCAGTTTATCTTGGGGAAACCACATTTCCAGACAATCATCCCTTTAGGACATGGCCCTTACTTAACGGCTTTCACAACTCAGCTGTGAAGGCAGCACAATCCATTGTGTGGATGCCTGACAATTTCCCAGCCAAAAATACACTTCATTGTGATCTTAAAATGGTGATTTCTGTTGCTTCTCCCCACCCCCAACAAAGCAGAGGATTCTACCAAGGGACAAGTGTGTATTTTAGAGCAGATCTACACCCTGGCAGGAAAAACAAGCTGATGACCCAGCCAGACTTCCTGTGTTTTCTAGTCAGTGATTTCCACAGTGGTTTAGATGATAGAGCTCATTTAAGGTGGGGGGAATAAGAGAGAAAAATCCATGGATTGATCAAGTTAATGCTACCCAGCTTCTTGAAAGACTCTCCCAACACCTACATGTCATGTCAACAATGAAGTGTATCCGAAGCACTTATTTTCAGTGCCCCCACTGATACAGCATAACTCTTGCCTTAATGATAAGAGGACAAAGACAAAATGATTTCAGAAAGGGACATCTCGCAGCAAATAACAGGTCTGTGACTTCAGGAATTGATTGAGAACTGCAAAAATCACAGCTTCTGTACCTGAAGATCCTGGCTCTGACTAGTCCTCAGTTCTGACAGGTTTAACCTTCAACAAAATCTAACATAACCTTTTCATGCTACTTAATCTATGTCTTTGCACAATGAAAATAAGGCTTCCCATCCCCACTCTGCCTTAGCAGTACATGCTAGAAACCCTTATGTTTAGAAAATGCAAGGAGGCATGCATGTGTTATTAACTGATCTGCATCTGACAGCAATCTCTTCCCAAATGCTCCCTAGCTGATCATTCCTGTCTGGAGAGCAGGGCATGAATCTGTCACAAGCAGAGGTTACGTTCTCAGTGTTACAGAAAAACATCACTGGGAGAAATTCCACACATGCACTTACACTATAAATGAATCTCTTCCAGCTACAATCAAAGAGGCTAACTCAGTTCATGCCCAGTTTGCACTAAATAGGTTTTCTCTCCAAATCAGGAGCAGGCCACTGGAGAGCTGCACACACCTGGTAAGAGCTATAAAGGGAAACTGGGGTTTCGTAACAACTGAACTTCATTTCAACTGATATAAATGAGTTGTGCTGGAAGCATAATGCTCTGGATCCCAATCCAGTTCCTGTATCCCCAGATGTAGCACTAATTCTTTCATCTCATCTCCAATCTGCCTGGTAAAGAGCCAGTGTAAAGCAACCCATGGACAGAGCTCAAGCTATCTAGGGGAAGTTAATGTTTCTCAGTGGGATGTATTTCATTTCCAGTTATATAGAAACATCTCACACGACCAGCGTAAGGCTAAGTGGAAGGTGCTGATCAAAGGTTATTTGATCAAAGATCTTTTCAACGTGAAAAGGGGATAACAAGTGAAGAGGGGGAGCAAGAAACCAAAACCCAGGGACACAAACCTGACGGACCAACATAATAGAGACAATAACAAGAAACAACCTTGTTGGCCATCAAGAAACTGCAACCAAACCCAGGCTTTGCAACAGGCAAGAACACAAACCAAGGGTCTTGGAGGAAGGGGGTCAGTAGGAATATACAAAGTGCAGGGGAAGGATACTGGGGAGGAATGGCCAGAAAGGGATATAAAAGGCACCAGAAGGGCCATGGCAGTATTTGAGGGCCCATGAACATGCATTTGCTTGTGAATCTAGAGTGGTGCATTTGTGCTTTCACCATTGAATGCCAATCTTTACCAGCCAAAGGGGAGGAAGGGATCTTGGCTGTCTATACTTATGTTTTATGCAAGTCCTGTACGTGGGTGCTGCTGAAGGCAGGGCCTTGTCTGTGGCAGCCTGTGTAGCTGGTTGTATCAGTGTCCCGTGTGGGTGCGCGTCTGCAATTCAGGCTCAGCTTAGCTACTCCTTCCAGCTACAGAGGGGAAAGCAGCAGGTACATCCATCAGCCTGGGATGCAGGGCCCAGGTGTCTGTACAGTATAAAGCCCCAAAACGCAGAGCTGCTGGAGGTGGTGGCCATGTACAACACCCCTTAATATCCAGCACAAGAAAACCCCCCTGAAAACAGCATTCACCCTTAGAAACCTGTCCTGGGATAGCTCAGCATAAACTCACCGGTAGTTCATCCTTCTGGTTCCAAACACCAGTGCACTGCCTTTGTTCAATAACTGCCTTGATATTAATTAGAGCTGGTAATGCTACACAACCTGCTGAAAAACTGCAGAGAAAGGAGATGTTAACACAGGGTACCTGTCAGGAAACCAGTACTTTTCATATTTCTACTTTAAAGGCTAAGTGGGACACAAGAGTGTTATTGTACTACTACGTTCAGTTCTTGTCTGTGCTTCTAAGCTCCCTTCAAGTATAACAAGCAAGATTTTGGGGGCAGGTTATCCTGCTTCTTGGACAAGGGTCCATATTCTGGACTGAAAACAAAGAGTTAATCCCCTCTTTGAGTCTTAAAATGAATCGATTTTAGTGGTGGATTTGGCAGTCCTGAGGTAAAGATTGGACTTGATGATCTTAAAGGTCTTTTCCAACCCAGCTGATTCTGTGATTTTCTGTAGCACTTACTTTGACTTTGAGCTGTACAGGAAGACATCATGTTGGCTTAGGCAGATACTTGCTCCCAAGTAAGGAAGAGTATGTGCAGCCTAAGAGTTTCTGTGTAACCTACACGTACACACAACCCATAATCCTTTAATTACATGTAATTACCATGTAAAGAAACTGTCTTTCCACCTCCCCTTAAACCAAGAAAGTACATATAGAGAAAACATAGGAAGGCAAGTGAAGGAAGGAAATTGTGCCTGTGACAGCAATGGTGGTATAAAAGTGTCCAAAGTCATGTGTCCCAACAGTTCAGCTGCTCTGGGATTTACCCATTACCAGACCTCACCACATGATTTTGCAACACTTCCCTGTGTTACAAAAGACACCGTGACACTGGGTTTCCACAAATTAACACGTTTTGATGGATTTAAGTCTAATGACAGTACTACTATAGGCCTGGAAATCAGAGGCAACAGAAACAGAATTTGTCCTTGGTACTGGCCTGCTCTGTTTCCTTGGCAGATTCTTTTCCTATTTGTGCAAGTTTTATTGTCTCCAGAAGTCATGACCTTCCTCTCCACTCTGCCCCTCCAGATACTTGGCTTTATGTTTCCACAGGAACATCCTTGCTAGTTTACTTGGGACGGATGTGCCTGACACTTACGGATCTCTTGCCTAAGCTAAAAATACAACAAAGATCACAGGAAGAGCCCCTGAAGAGTGTAACAACTAAATAGTAAATTCAAGTGGTGCTCTGTAGTCCATCAAGACCCTAAACCTTACTATAACAAGAGTTTTCCCACTGACTTCACGCAGTAAATCAGCTTGTGAGGCCTGTGCATGATTGGATAAATACTGGAGAAACCAATCAGCCTTAAAAAAGTGACCACTACTCATGTTCGTATGTTTTATAGGAGGGATTTCACTCCAAGCTGGTTTCACTTCTAAAGGATCTGCAGCACTCAACGGTCACACCAGTTTAGAGCAGTCTTGTTTATGACAAGAGTATTGATACCACCTATGCAGTAAGTACATTTCAGCGCAATCAATTTCACACCCAGAGCGAACGTCCAACCAAGCCTGACATCAATAACAGGGATTTTCCACTTCACCAAAACTCTCTTGGCCATTTGCACTGAAAACTGCATTACAGTACCAGTGCAGGAGCAATTCACTTGTAAAGCATTGCTGTTAATTTGACTCCCAACAGGAAAAAGATGAAAGCCAAAAGCCAGAGACAGAAGTTCTATAAAACCCTCAGACTGAAACTTGGAATGTTTATTGTGGAAAAGACAACCTGAAAGTGGTCCCTTAGTTGCTTCTGTTGTGTGACAGAGGTGCAAAAAGGAGAAGCAGAAGGCTTGACAATTGAAGTGCTTTAAACTAAGCACATAAGTAGTAATAGTAACATGCAAACAGTTAATATAGAATCATAGAAAGCCAAAACAAACCTCCCAAAAACCCCAGGAAGAGGTAGTGAAGCTTCTGCTGATACCAAATCTAGCCCAGAAAGATACATGTAATTTATTCTCTATTTAATGCCTGAAATACAAATGAGAGCATCAGGCTGGTGTATTGGAGGAATTGACATGCAAAGGCTAAAGAGCAGCTAATCTCTTCTTTTCAGAGAAGTGAGAAGGAGATTAGGTTGTGGGGTTCATTCCATGTTTCCAATTGCCTCCTAGAGATCTGCATTTAGTCAGATTAGCTCCTGAGCTTGGAAGTGCCTCTTTTTTCTCTGCAAACGAGGCCCAGCAAACAATATGGGAATTTCAGCAGCTCAAATCACAACACAACTCTTAAGCATTCTGCTAGAGGGAGAACAGGCAAAGGAAGGTGGGGATTTAAAACCATGATGATCAAATGCTGACAGAATCACAGACAGAGTTTTAGGGGGTTTTGCAGTTAAACAGCAGGGACAGTTTTCACACATTTGCTGTGGGAATAACTGGCTGATTGCCACCCTCATCTTTCACACTGATGTCTGAAATACAGAAGCCAAATTCCATCCATGAATGCTTCTTGAGCTGCAACAGTGCAGGATAAAGCCTAGCACATGGGAACGTCTGATTTCCAATCTCTGCAGATCTTGCCAGAGCTAAATGTAACTACACACTTGATTTCATATGAGTCGACTCCTCTTTTGTCCTGAACAAGAAATAAGCCCCAGAACACTCTGTACCTGATCTTAAAAGCAAGTGAAAAGCAGCATACCTAACACTGAGAGGTGATTCAACGGAGAGACCCAGAAGAGCACAGGCATCTCTTGTAAAGATGTCACAGATGTCCGCCCACTGGTTGGCATCTAATAGATGAACGTACGGAGAGTTCTCTATTCCTTGCCGCAGGTACACCAGGCTGCCCATCAAAACCTGGATATCTAACAGGGACCAGGAACACTCAGTTAGTTCGTACTACAAATAAAAACTAGTGGCTACAGTTTTTTAGCTGTTACATGGAAAACAGGCAGATTGGAAGCAGCTTCCAGAGTCTGAAGGGGGCTACAAGGATGCCGGAGAGTGACTCTTCATCAGGGACTGTAGGGACAGGACAACGGGTGCTGGGTTTAAGCTTAAACAGGGGAAGTTCAGGTTAGATATAAGGAAGAAGCTCTTTACTGTGAGGGTGCTGAGGTGCTGGAACAGGCTGCCCAAAGAAGTGGTGAATGCTCCATCCCTGGCAGTGTTCAAGGCCAGGTTGGACAGAGCCTTGGGTGACATGGTCTAGTGTGAGGCGTCCCTGCGCATGGCAGGGGGTTGGAACTGGATGATTTTAAGGTCCTTTCCAACCCAAACCATTCTAGGATTCTATGATATAAACCAAATCAATAATTGATTCAATTTCAGCAACATCCTCACCTCTACAAAATACAATGACTGATGTCTACAGCTACAAGAGCTCCAGTCCACTATGGATAGACTGGGGGGGCTGTCTTCCCTCTACAAGCACGACATGCTGCCTACTACTTCTTTTAAACACGTTCACCTTTATTGCAAAGCTTTGCCACACACAGTACCCAAAAAATTAAGCTTTACTGGATTCAGCTGGAGAGGATTCACTTTAACTTGCATATTCCCCATCTTTCAAGTTTCATTTCTCTTTGTATTACCCCACGCAGCAGAAAATAGCAGATGACTATTCCGAGAACATTTCTGTGCATTTTTAACACCTCACCCTGGCAGCAGGCCTATTCTGGATGTAATGTATGTATTATTTCAAGAGTCACAAACCTTAAATTCAAGCAAATGTGCAGAAAATACAACTTTGTGCCCTCTTTTAAGAAAAAAGGGAGGAATTAATTAACATTGTAAGGATTCAAGTTATACAAGTTAAATACAAAATGGAGTAAACCACTTTTGGAACATGACTTATTATTTTACTATGAGGTGCCACATCCTAGTGCTTTAAATCCCCTTAATGTGACCAAAAACTTACCTTTCTGATGATTTAGGGCAAATGGCTGGAAGTTTTTTGCATACTGAAGGGCTTCTCTTTGATTTGCTGTTCCACCCATCAATAAACTAATGAAATACAATCTGTGCAGTTTAAATTCCAACGAACTATTCTGTGCCATGAGCATTTCTCTGTTGGATACAGCCCACCTAAAAGACAAGAAGAGGTACAATGACACAGGAGTAATTGTCAGCCCACAATGTATGAAATCATTACAATTAGCAACCACCTATTTCTGCCAGAGGGGAGACTGAGATGAGTTCTTGGGCAGAAGCTCTTCCCTGGGAGGGTGCTGAGGCGCTGGCACAGGGTGCCCAGAGAAGCTGTGGCTGCCCCAGCCCTGGCAGTGTTCAAGGCCAGGTTGGACACAGGGGCTCGGAGCAACCTGCTCTAGTGGAAGGTGTCCCTGCCCGTGGCAGGGGTTGGAGCTGGAGGAGCTTTAAGGTCCCTTCCAACCCAAACCATTCTATGATTCAACACTCACTGGCTGGAAGGGAAGACTGAATTAGGCAAGATATCAGGTAGAAAGAGTTAGAATCTACTGTATTTGGATTAAAACCACTCTGAATCTAAATATTTACAGAGACTCTGCAGCTGCATGTTGAAGAAACTTAACAAAGCTTTTTCCAACTTCCTCATTCACCAAACACTTCCCCTAAGCCACTATGTCCCTATACATGCATATGTTGCCCTGGAGAGGGGAAATGTGTCTGTGGGGGCTTCAAGACAGACATCACAACAGAGGATAGGGGAAACAAATCATTGAATGGTTTGGGTTGGAAAGGACCTTAAGATCATCCAGTTCCAACCCCCTGCCATGGGCAGGGACACCTCACACTAGACCATGT